GCATAAATCAAAAACACAGAAACGTAAAAATGAGGCAAAAAAGTCATTAAAATAACGCATTTATCCCCATATCCGTTCCGCAGCTGCTCCGTGCATCCGTTCCGCATCCGCTTCCGCATTTTAATCTAATTGTGACATGTTTTCGCCCGGCCATCAAGTGAAACTTTTATACACTAAAAACGGAAAATCCATTGATAGAAGTGCCGTAGCAAGCTCGATAATTGGGGGGTGGGGGGCTCATATTCATATATTCGTGTTCACAGACCATAAAACAATCGATTTCAAAAGAAATTAATAACGCAGAACACGAATATATGAATATGAGCCCCCCAATTATCGAGCTTGCTACGGCACCGGATAGGAATAGCCCACATTGAAGTTTAGTATTTATTAATTTACGTTTAATTCCTATATCCGTTGGGACTCACATATCACAGATTTACAGGTATATATCACAGATTTACAGTTATATTTACAAAGGTTGAAAAAATTGGATTTGTATATCCGATACTCAAAATGCACAGCTGGAGTTCAAACGCAAATTCACCCATTAAAATTTCTTCACAAGAGAATTTCTACTGTTATATACAGTAGCTGGTAATTTCGCGTTACATTGTTTACATTGTATCTTCTTTACGTTTACAATAGAACAAACGAGAATTACACACGCTACCTGCTGAAGCTTAGTGTCGATATTACAGAATTGTTGATCAAATACTATCTGGAAATCTTAATACGCGATGGCAAGATTTCGATGTCGGACGGTATTAACTCCTTTACTTGTAATGTTCCAACTCGCTTCACTGATCATTATCAGTTATTTAGTTCAGGAAAACATCACATTAAAGCAAACTATTGTAAGTATTTATGATACACATCAGTTGAAGATAACTAACACGAGGTCCACATTGAAGGAAAATATTTCTACTAATATTCCAACCAAAATTCTTGTCAAAACAACATCCAATAATTTGGAAAAGAAAAAACGTATTATGACCAGAAGCGATGATATTCCCAGTAAATCTCAAATGAAAAAGACCACAAGAGCTACTAACATCAACCGTACCACACTGAAAAGCAGCAGCAAGAATTACAATGTCTCGTTTACTGAAAAAAATTCGCCACCTCACAAACCACGAAAATTTTCACCTTCAATGCTAACTATTGTTGTTTTTAAACCGTCAATTAATTATTCCGAAGCCAACTTTAATAAAACACTAGAAAGTATCGGAAGTTTATATCCTACCGCACACCAAATATTGAACTTAAATAATAGTGAGTCACTGAATTCAACGATTTCACGTGTAAAAACGGATTATTTTCTCATTTTGGAAGAGGGAGTGATACTTTCTAACCGCTCTTATGAAAGTATTGATATGTTATGGGATGCATTAGAGCGATATCAGGAGATTGATTTTATTGGTGGTTCTTACTTAGCAGGGGATAAGCTCCACGTAGCCTGCCATCACTACCGTCTTTGCAGATGGACATTTTCAGTAAGCTACGAGTACGAACGATCACTTGACAATGTTATGATTTGTGACGGAACTTCGTCCTCGTTTATGGGTAGACGTGCAAGCCTTGATAAAATTAATGGATTTGATTCAAGCATTCATAATACGCTGATTGTTCAGGACTTTTTCCTCCGAGCTAAACTCAGTAAAAATGTTTCCGTAGGTACTATGCCCAATGTCATGTTCCTGCAAAATTACTTCTCAAGTCTGTACGAGTTATGGCAATCAGGAAACATAACAAAGGATATAGTTCCATTTGCAGTAAAACATAAAGTTTTTATATTCAAAGACATTGAAGAAAATATTATTGATCTATGTAGTCAGTCAAGCCCATTAAGTGGGAAATATTTATGTGATGAGACACAAGCACACAAACTTATGCTTGATGGAGCACATTGGGCTTACACAGGAATATTTGCTTATCCCTATATATTGAATCACTTGGAAATAACTTTAAATGAAGTGACAAAGTTCTTTGAAGAACACAATGTGCAATATGTAGTCATTGGAGGGGTATCATTAGGAGCGATAAAAATGCGTTCTATTCTACCATGGGAAGCAGGAGACATTGATATTTATGTGTATGGAATGAGTTTAGTCCAGTTGGCAGACTTAGTTGAACCATGGGCTAAGAAGAATGGTTATTTTGCTTACACATTTATGAAGGAAGCTGTCCACATTTTCTGTACACCTCGTCACCTTGGACGTGTATCAGGAGGATTGGCTACACTACATCCTCAATCAGAACTACCTCCAAATTTTGTAAGAATTAAGACAAACGGTATCTGGGTCCGCTATGATAGAGAATTTTTTAAACTCTTCCTAAAGCACTACGGCAAAGACTATCTGCAACATAAACTTTACAGACAAAAGGAAATAATAGAATGTAAAATCAAAGACCACAACGCATGTTTGCCCAACTTTAAGTCACTATATCAGGGAAAAGCGGGCACACTGAAGGAATTTTATTGCCAGAATTGAATCAGCGGTTTTGTGACAAATATGGCAAAAGTGTAACTTTCACAAGAATAACACCAGTTTATACTTTAGACTGTTCCATGGATAATGCAGGGTAGTAAGGTCAGTGGTGTGGACGGTGGGAACGTGACGGCAAATCCGCAGTCCAAAGGAAAACAAATAATCCCTCATTTCCTCGTATTAATTGAGAGGAGTCAGGTGAACTAAAAAATTTCTCTTGAACATTCTCGACTATTTCTGCCCCATTTTCAATGTCAAAGCAAGAAACTCCTTTATATTTTTATTCCCGGAAGACGAATTTACAGACGATTTATTTTATTATCATGTTATACGTAATACCATAATTGTATCACACACTACCTTAGATATAGACTTTCCAAAGTCCTTTCCAGACCCTTCTATAAGTCTACCTTAGATACTACTTTTAAATTATATTATCATACATCTTTAAGCTGTTATTGCGATATTTTAAAATTCACTGCTTTTTTAAAAAAAACCCAAACGTTGTGTTGTGCGATAAATCATTGTTTGTGGAGAGTTAATGAAAATGCAATGTATAATACAACAGTTATTGAATTCAGTTTTTGTGATATCCCGAATTATCAAGATCGCGGATAACACTTACCTCGACCTTGCTAACTCTGAGTATCACAAAACCTGGTCAGAACTACCCTGGTTCCAGAGGTTTATTTTTATTATTTTCATTGCGAAGGGGAGAGGAAAAATAAACCTCTGGTTGAAAGTGGCAATTGATTCATCGAGCCGCGCCAATCAGTTTGAATTAGGGTCAGATCCTGACTCTGTCTCCTGATTGGATGATTGTATTAAAGCTCTCTGATTGATTCAAATAAAACATCCATAACCAATCAGAGAACTTTAATACAATCATCCAATCAGGAGACAGAGTCAGGATCTGACCCTAATTGCTGCCCAACCTCGTACCCAGAGCTAGTCGCGAATTGAAGACGGCGACATAGCCCTGGTAAACGCTGGTCACGTGTCAGGCAAATACTCCAAGATTCTTGGAGTATTAGCCTGCGAGCGGGCTTTGTGGAAATAAAGACAGGGGGGCGACGAAAAGTTCACGAATGGAACTTGAATTGCCGCGGATTATTTATATTCTTTTATTTTTTGTTGTAATCTTTCTTCTTAATATGTTACGTTTATATATTACGTCGAATGTACATCAATCTTCTTTTATATCGCATCATGTAAATCGCCGAGGAGGCGATGTTTCGAATTTCGAAGCAGTGAAAATGGAGCCAATCTCGTCCATACTATTTGTGATGATTTCCATCAAGTATAAAAAGGTACAGTATATATGAATTTGAAAATGTTTAGAAGTATTTCTCTGTTACAAATTATTTTGCAGATTCCCATTATTTGTTACACTGTCTAGCTCTATGAAATATATATTTCGAAGGCTATTTACTGTAATATATTTTAGGAATATATTTTATACAGTATGTTAATATAGTTAGCTGAATTTGTACAATTGTAGTTTAAATATTGTCAATATTGAGAAACACATGGCCAGACTATGGCCTATAATACTATACTCGGACCCTCAGTAAAGTTCTACTCTCACATGATTATTATTTACAATATATTGATTTATCGCTGCGAGAAACGTGTTTACACTTTAATACAGTATTATTGAACTACATTTTACAGCAGTATTATAAACTTCAAATACTTTGTATTTTATACATTTATACAGTAATGACCTGAAATTATTTAAATGAGCCATTACTGTAATAACAGAGTGGCCAGGTTGACAAAGCTAAAATCTGATGAACCTAACCTGCTAGGATATTTCAATAGTCAAACATCAGTTTCAGCACTCCAGCTGGTCAGGGATTTTTTAGGGAAAAGTTTTAGCACCCCATTGTAAAACCTGCCTCTGAATCTCAAAATTTCATTATTTTGTTCCCTTGCCCCTACAATCTATATTTATACCTTTTGTGCCGTTGAGATCTTTAAAAAAATTGCCTAACTCTGCAGTATGGCATGTAACCATGTTGCCATATTTATTTTCTGACTTCAGGCTTCAATAAATTTCTACTCTAATACCTGACAGAGATGGGGGCCATATGTATGAACAATAAGAAATGATTTCTTCATCTATTATTGACCCCTTACCTTTCACTCAATTTTAAAATTAAATTTACTGAATGATTTTGAAGTTTTCTAGATTATTGAAAAGAACTTTATGGGTACAAGAAATAGGGCGAAAACAGTTGAATTAAGCAAGATGCAAGTAACAATGAACCAGACCGGGTCACTGGATGGTATTTCAGCACAAACTGGTGGACATGCAACCTAATACCTGCAACCTGTGTCACATTTATATATATATAGTTTTACACTGTACTGGAAAAATAATGTCAAGGAACTTGTAGAGATTCATAATGCACACTCCATGGTTTATTCAATCACCAGCATGCATGAATCATTTTATGTTATGGATATTTTTTTTAAATTATTCTCACTTAGATAAAATTATATCAATTTTTAATATCATAAATGAATATATAGTAGCTTTTGATTAAACAAGTTATAATAATATATCAGCAAATAATGACTGGTCTCTCTGAAATCCATATAGAAAGGTTCAAATTTGACTTCCACTACCACTACTTGATCTGGCAGTTGCATCCGATTGTTTGATTGGATAAATGAAACTTATCTGGTTAGAACTTTAATGATAGCAATAGCAGCAGTGGAAGTCAAATCTGATCTCTCTATTATTTTTTGAAGATTTGCTCTAGTCACGTCAATTCAGGGTTGCCCATGCAACTTGGTTAGCACAGCTAGCTCTTCAAGTTGGCGGTCCAATTCTTAGGATTCTGCAAATTGATTCTAGAAAACTGCCTTCGGTTTGGGCTAAGCAAAAATCATCACACTGTTTATCATGCTGATTTAGTTGTTTAACAGTTAAAGTCCAGGTTGCATGTTTTTTGTCCTGCATGTGGCAGATGGGACAGTCTGGTCATGGGCGTACCGGAAGGAAAAAATTAGGGGGGCGGAAAGAAAATTGCCCGACTTTTCGAGATTCTGCCCGACTTTTCGGGATTCTGCCCGACTAGGACCAAAAAAATTTTTCCGGAAAAATTATTTTGGCGACCCCCCCCCCCGTCGCCAAAAAAATTTCGGTCAGTGTACCATTTTAGGGGTCAAAAAAATTTTCCGGACAAACAATTTTTCCGGAGCATAACATAAATTTTCGAAAAAACACAAAATTTGCCAAAAAATTGAATTAATTTTAGACAAAATTGACAGAATTTGACCCATTTTTTTTTATTGCAAACCAAAATTGCCCGACTGTTCATCGAATATTGCCCGACTGCCCAAAAAACTGGGGGGGCTAACGCCCCCCCCGCCCGGTACGCCTATGAGTCTGGTTTCCAAGTGTTTATGTTGGGAATTAATATTAATCAGGACTAGCTTCTGAGTGAAGGTCTTGCCTGCTTTATGTGAGAGCAGGCTCTATGCGAGATTCCAATTGCTACACAGCATGATCTCAGGGCTCTTCCTCTGAAACAATGTTTGGTTGCAATATCATCTAGCAAGTGCAAAAATTTACTACCACGGTCAAGGATCATTTGGCATGTTCATCGACTATGTTAACCCATTGAGTGGCGCCATGCACTCTCCACCTGATGAGTAAAATTGTCTGATGTTAGACAGAGTAAACTAACAAAGTAGGGCGCATCTGGGTTCTTTGGGCCATTCCATTTAATGTACACACCACCTATGGACGATGTACATCCCCCCCCTAAGAAAAAATATCAAAGTGCCGACACCAACACCCCCCAGAAATTAAGAAATTTTTGCCTTATCCCTCAGAAAAAAATGCAAAGATCAAAGGTTACGGATGCACGCAACCCCTAGAAATGGCTTTTTCAACCCCCTCAGAAATTCTAGTCCATGGGGGGGCCGGGGGTGTATATTAAATGGATGGCCCATTGCCACTTAAAGGGTTAAAAACGTAAATACCACAGCACAACACTTGTATACATAATACATATACAAGTAATACAACAGCAATCCTTTTATATATTTAATAGTCATATTTACATATTGGTGAAATATCAATGTCCATATATTAGGGATGTCCATGAACTTGTCCCTAGTTTGAAGCTAATGTATTCATATATTTTGTATAAGTTGTCCCTCTACAAACCAACTTATAGTCATTATACAAGAGTTGAATTTGCATTCATTTGCTTCGCAAGTCGCAACAAACTGAACAAAGTACTAAACCATAAACCTGTGCAATGATCGAGCGTCTTTAGCGACATATCCAAGTCTTTTAAACGTCTCATTGGAACAAATCTCACTGAGTTTTTTCTACAGAAAGTATTGATCCATTTGATCGATCGCCGTACTTTGAGAAAAGCTTGAAATGCAAAATTCACAGGAAAGATTGAAGAATTTCGGAGATAAAAACTGTTTGTCTTCGAGTTTCACCTGTTCACCCCCCGGTTGAGAAAAGTAACAATTACGTAATGTTGGAGTCACGTGACCAGCGTTTACCAGGGCTACGCAGTGAACTCTAATAATAACTGGAAGGCTAACTCCTATGATGAAAGTCTATGATTCGTTGAAGCCGGCGCGCGGGAAAATCAGCTTTCAAAAGGACTAAGGAGAGTTTCGAGGAGTGAAAAAAATTCTGTCAAAGGTTTGTTTTCGAGCAAAAATTTGCAAGAAAAACACTTTTCCCATGGGAATACAACAATGACTTGGGATTTAAACCAAGTTTCCGATTAGTTCCAACTGTTTTACATCTCTCTGCAGCAAAAAGTAAGGAATTTTGCTTTTGTATTTTGAAAAAATGACGAAAGTTTGGACGTGCCGAAGGAAATCTCGCCGTTCAACTCAAAAATATATACTATAAAACATTTTGACAGTCCCAAAACTTATGTTGTACTAAACCCCAGGTATTGGTATTGATCCTGAGCTTTTAGTCCTTGTTTTAGTCGCTCTTAAATATAAATAAA